GTATAGAGACTGGTAGAATATCATAGAGGGAAGCACAATAGATCAAACTGGTCGCGGTGCATGGGGAAACCCACCCTCTCTAAATAATAATAATAATAATAATAATAATAATAACTAGTCCATAAGGCAAGCCTGTTGACCTTGCAATTAGTGTAAGAGTTGCCACCAAGTGGTGAACATGGCAGTAAAACTTGAGAATTGTACCAAGGATGAGCAACAATCTGTGATATGCTATGGAGGGGGGGGGGAGAGGGGGTACCAGGCATACAAATTCATCAGTGCATGTGTGCTCAATATGGGGACAATGTTCTCTCTCATAGTGTTGTGTGTGAGCGGACTGAAATGTTTAAAAATGGTCATATGAGTGTTACTGATGCAGAGCGCTCAAGTTGTCCAACCACAGCCCAAACCACACGGAATGAAGAAAAAGCTAGGGAAGTGATTTTTCAAAACAGAGGAGTCAGTCAATGAAATTGCAAAACAAGTGAATATCAGCATTGGGTCTGTCTATTCTGTGGTGTGTGATAACTTTCAGTTTCATAAAGTGTGTGCCAGATGGAACTGACGGATGATCATAAGCGCATGCGCTTAGATATTTGTTCCTGCCACTTGGCTCATTATTGCAAAGGTGGCAACTTTCTGCAACAGATCATCACAGATAATGAAACCTGGGTTCACCACTGTCAACCAGAAACCAAGCAGAAGAGCATGCAATATAAGCATTCAGATATTATTCTGGCATTAACATTTCCAACACTCTACCATCTAGTCTCAAAGTCTAATGAATGAAAAGGCACAATTTAAATTAGCACTGAAACGATACTTACACACACACTCACTCTAATCTGTTCATGACTTCCTACTGTCTAAAAACGACTCGTCCTTTTAAAAGGTTATGTGCATAGCATAAGTTGACAGTATTGACTTATATATGTGGAAGTATTTTTCTTTTGTTGTGTCTCATTTGTACTGTATTTATGGCTTTTGTATTTGTATGACTTTTTCCACATCCTACAGTCATTCTGACTTACTTTTGATCTAAGGAAGGTAATGTATGTATGTATGCAACTCCTGCTGCAAAGAAATTCAAAATGCAGCCATCAGCAAGCAAATTGATGTTGGCCACCTTCCGGCATTCTCAAGGGCCTAATTCTTGAGACCTACCTGGAACGTGGAACAACTGCTACATGTGCAACCTATTGTGAAATGCTTCAGAAAGGTGTGAAGCCTGCAATTCAATCTAAAAGAAGAGGGAGATTATCACAGGGCGTCCTGTTGTTGCATGACAATGCACGACTCCATACTGCGGTCCAAGTACTGGAAAGCAATTGAAGTAGGAAGTGATGGAACACTGAGCTCACAGTCCAGATTTCGTTTAAAGAATCTCTAGGAAGGAGATGATTTTGATGTGATGAGGATGTAAAGAACACAGTGCATCAGCGGCTACGTGCACAACCAAAGTCTTTCTAATATGATGGCATTAGGAAGTTAGTAGGGCACTGGGAAAAATGTGCTGAAAAGCAGGGTGATTATGTAGAAAAATAATGTATGTTGTCAATGAATAATCCGTCGAGTGTAACAACATTCTTAGGTCACTTATTTATTTCACTCGCCTTACATGTTTCGGTTCAAAAGAACCATCATCAGAGGCACGTTACAAACACATGAAACCACTGGCGTTGTATTGTACACAGTATGTAAGCTGCGTGATCTGCTAGAGATATGAAAC